CAGCAGGAAATAAAGATCAGTGGGGGCTGGCTTGTATGACAACTCTAGTGAGCAGCTGGGATGCTGTTCTGTGGGGGTACAGCAGAATTTTGCCCACAAATACAAGAACAGCCAGCATGGCTTCACTGTCCAACAAAGCTGAGGAGCTTGCTCCAGCTGAGACCAACAGCTGATGCTCAGAGTACAAAAACAGGGCAAGTATGCAGCACTCCTGACTGAAATACTGCCCCAACCTGTAGGAATATGCAGCACAAGAGTTCATTGAAATAGAGAAATAGCTTTGCTCAACAACTTTGATGATTTTTAACATCTATAAATCTTCTTTCAGTTACAACTGCAACGGTGAGTTCCAAACCTCAGTGATGCATCGCATGTCCAAAACCCTCTCTTAGTTTATTTGGACATCATTCCTTGACAATTCCTACTTACTGTCTTGTACAATTTCAGATTCTATAAACTCTACCAGATTCCTGTGCAGTGTGGAAAAGAGAAGACTAAAATCTGCTCAGCTGTTTCCCAAAGGGATGTGGATCCCAACTCCTGCTCCAGATGCCTTTTCCAGTCCTGCTGCAACAGGATCAGGACTCAGTCAAAGATGAAACCACAGATGCAAACAGGGACAGAAGATGTTTTTGATTTTCTGTCCTCATACTTTTCCTAACAGTTCCTAACTTTCAGTTCTTTCTTGCCTGTAACTGACCTGTGAGCTGAAGGTATTCCTGAGGCCATCTGGATTCCATGATCTCTTTCTTTACAGACCAACACCTCACTCACGGCTCCCTCTTATCAGCCCCAGCTGCATCACAATTCATTGACACCTCGTTTTGGCCAGTTCTCCTCTCAGTCTCTCCATGTTGCAAGGTCTCTCTGCAGTTGCCATTCCCTTTTGTGATCTCAAAATAGCCATGCCAACAGCTTTTCTCACCTCATGGTTTGCCTCATTTCCTAAATCCTTTGTGAAGGCTGAGCAGCCTGCTAGAGATACGGACAGCACCTGAAAGGCTTCTTCCCAAGCCTCTTAGCTCAGGAGCATGTAAAATATTTGTGATCCCAAGAGGATGAAGGGGACACTTCTGCACTTTGCAGGCCCATCATGGAACACATTTGAACATGTGACTTTTAGCACCTGACAAG